CCAAGATCCAGGTTTGGGGCAAGTACTGGTTAGTGAGAGAACCCCAGCAGAGATTTTAAATAATAAAATGTGCAGCAAAGTAAAGCGTGGAAATATAGGCTATTAGACCTTTAAAATATGCCCTTGCAAGTTCCAAAGTAGTCTTCTCTTCCCCTAGCATAGAAAAAGACCACACATTTCGTAAGTTAAAAATGGTTTACTTACAAAATCTCCAAAGGTCAAGTTCATGAGCTTTTCCATACATTAGTCAGAAAACACAGGCAGTAAAACTTGGCTTCATTGCAGGGGTGAAAGTTTCTAAATTATTGGTATAAGAACACTTGAAAGTGCCATGTAGTCTGAGCTTAGAGCAGCCAGCTCAGACCTCTTTACACGCTGAGCTTTTTAGGTAGACTGAGGTACAACCATAAGCTTACCTATTTTCTACCAAGGTGAGGGGGAGTGGCCTAGGTAAGCCTGGCAGGACAGCTTACTCTATGGCTTTAACCCCTTCATGCCTTAATTAGACTTAAGCATGTTGGTTATATGAGACTGGTGATCCCACAAATCAAATTTACATATGGTGGGGCTTCCTGGTGGGATTCCATGTCTCCCCCCACCCCCATATATATTCTGTGTATGTGCAAAGATTGTATGAAGAGGACTCTACTGAGAACATGGCAGAAGCAAAAAAGGGAATTGTATGACTTGCAATTCATTTTCTTAGCCACTGAACCACATCAGCTTGCACTTTGACAGACATAACCTGAGCAATTTGGATATGAATTTGTTGAAATTGCCACAACATACGCAAGCCATGTAAAGATGTTGCATGTATTACTATTTCTACTTTGTGTTACTTTTTTCCCTAAGTGGCAAACACCAATAAGACTATGCCTTTTTCCTCTATTAAGCTATTGCCCTTAATCCTGGGTGGAACTTTGGCTTTATCTGTTTGTTCTTTGGTGACTGTGTGCTCCCCGTCTCCTGAACTGGAATGTACAATTGCACTGGTTTTATTTTAAAATTAATGTTCTGATGACTGTATGTCCTAAAAAAATGTAATAGCCAACTGCTGGAGTTCATATACATTTAAAAACTTCTTTTTTAAAGAGAGGAAGAACATTAAATGTGATATCAATGTTGGCACTGTTCATTTTATAGAAACATCAACATGCTTTTATTATTAACCTGTTCTAAATCAATGTAAGAATTTCAATACAACACTTGTAAGTATTCCCAAACCAATGTGCCTCTCTGACTTCCTTTTGTTTTGTTTTTTAAATTACAAATTAATAAGATTCCCAGGTTTCTGCCTAATGATTCTCTGCATTTATTGCTTAATCCCCATATAAAATATTGTTAAGATTGACACATTGCTATAGAGATAGAAGTCAATTGAATAATATGTAGCAGTCTATTTTATTTGTACCTTAATGTGGTGATGTATTTCTTTCACATTTACATTATTTATAAGTCTGTCCCCTTGGAGAATATATAGAAGAATTTGTTTTAAATGAGCAGATAATACCTTCTTTAAAATTTATAAGTATGGCAGAATCAGATCCCTTTTTTTCCCTTCACAGACCATGGCGTGGCAATAAAATAGTTCTGAATTGCCTTGCACTTGCTATTCATAGGACAAACGTGGGGTGGGATGAGAGGATCTTATTAAGGTTGAGTTAGAATTCCATTTCTATAGCCATCAGTAAAACCACAGAAAACAAAATCTACACCAAACCGTCTGGCAGAAATCCTAAAAATTGTTGCTGGAATACACAGGCACCTGCGTTCCTGACGCTTCTTTGCCATATGCATTCAAGCATCTTGCCCCAGAAACAATAAACAGGCAGGCTCCTGCTTCATTGATTTATTTTTATATTTTTATTTGCTACTAATAGCCATTCACCTGCAGAAATAATGCACACACCCCTACCTACTTATTGAGGCATATGAAGCTGGAAGCAGGCTTTTGTGCATGTATCTCTAAGTGGATATTGAACTGCATCGACAGATGGGTACATATTCCTACCCCAATTTAGTTGCTAGAGGAAGTATGGCTCTGGCCAGATTGATTGGCAATAGCACTCCTAGGTGTTGAGGTGGGGTGTACTCAGCTGATCAGCACCACGGCCAGGTACAACAGGCTGAACAACGGGAGTTCACCCTGTCGCGGGGATTCGAACCGCCGACCTTCCAATTGGCAAGCCCTAGGTTCCAATTGGAAGGTCGGCGGTTTGAATCCCCACGACAGGGTGAACTCCCGTTGTTCGGTCCCTGCTCCTGCCAACCTAGCACTTAGGAAGCACTCAGTGCAAGTAGATACAGTGGTACTTCGGGTTACATACGCTTCAGGTTACATACGCTTCAGGTTACAGACCCAGAAATAGTGCTTCAGGTTAAGAACTTTGCTTCAGGATGAGAACAGAAATTATGCTCCGGTGGTGCAGCAGCAGTGGGAGGCCCCATTTGCTAAAGTGGTGCATCAAGTTAAGAACAGTTTCAGGTTAAGTACGGACCTCCGGAACGAATTAAATGCTTAACCTGAGGTACCACTGTAAATAGATACCGCCCCGGCGGGAAGGTAAACGACGTTTCTGTGCACTGCTCTGGTTTCGCCAGAAGCGGCTTAGTCATGCTGGCCACGTGACCCGGAAGCTGTACGCCGGCTCCCTCGGCCTGTAAAGCGAGATGAGCGCCGCAACCCCAGAGTCGTTCACGACTGGACTTAATTGTCAGGGGTCCTTTACCTTTTAGGCATACAGGCTGGGAATGATAGGAGTTGTAGTCCAAAGCATTTGGAGAGAACTGGGGCAGTCTGTTCCAGAGCGAGGATTTGGTTCCAAGTCTCTTAGAAGCAGGGCCGGCCCACTCAGGAGGCAAGGTGAGGCAACTGCCTCGGGTGCCAGTTTCCATGAGGCGGCAGATCTGGCCTCCCAGGAATGCATCGTCTGCTGTTGCTGCTGGGGTGCCCGTGGCTGTGGCTGTGCACTCCTTGAAGTCAATGCCACCTCTACAATGGTACACCTGCCCACCACGATTCGGAGCTGACCCTCCCCCCCAAGACCTTTGATTCCATTGGGTTGATTCAGTGTGTCCCGTCCCCGCACCATTTCCCCTGATGTAGATCATTACTCACCCCTTCTTCTCTGGTGGCAGGGAAGGGGGGGTGTCAGTGCTATTTTGTGGCTTGCCTCAGGTGCCCCAATGTCTCGGGCTGGCCCTGCTTAAAACTATTCTGCAATCTGTGCAGAGCATACTAGTCAGTTGAGGTGGCATGGCAATGCGTCCTGCTGCCAGCGAAGTACCGTATTTTTTGCTCTATAAGACTCACCTTTTCCCTCCTAAAAAGTAAGGGGAAATGTGTGTGCGTCTTATGGAGCGAACGCAGGCTGCGCAGCTATCCCAGAAGCCAGAACAGCAAGAGGAATTGCTGCTTTCACTGTGCAGCGATCCCTCTTTCTGTTCTGGCTTCTGAGATTCAGAATATTTTTTTTCTTGTTTTCCTCCTCCAAAAACTAGGTGCATCTTGTGGTCTGGTGCGTCTTATAGAGCGAAAAATACGGTAACTTAATTGAAACGCTTCCCCAAATGAATGGTACATTGTATGTAGTAAGAAAGTGTAATCTAGCCCTCTATCTGTTATGCTCCTCTATTGTCCACCTATTGGGGCATTTACGTGGAGGAGCATTAAAACAATTTTTAAAAGACCCTTTACCTCTAGTCTCTCGTTCTGTGAAATTTGTAGAGCCTAGGCTGACTCTTAGTCCCAAACCCTGGCTCTTCATCTGTGCAAAGTCCAATTGCCTTGGATTCACTAGTTTGCACCGTGATATTTTACAGATATTTTACTCTTTCACAGAGATAAACAGTAGAAGTCACTTTACTTTGGCCCAGTTAATTCTTGCTCTATGAAATTAGGATAGCTGTTGCTCACTTTAGCATTAAAAAAAGGGCTCTTTCCCCTGCAGAGAGCTTGTGTGATTATTTTTTTTTTATGTAAATAGATGTATAATGCAGTCCACATTAGCTGTGTTGATGATGGCTTCAGTTTCACTGCTGTCAGATTTCCGTATCTCCCTCCGAGTGAGTAGGCTGGCCTGAATGAATGTTAGCATAATTTATGCAGCTGATAAGTGATTTGAGCGCTTGAGTTATTGATAAACCGCTTTAGCATATCATTTTCAGCTTGATGCTATGTGACATCACAGCAAAATGTAATGTGCTAGTCCCCAGGCTAGATATTAAGGTAGAGCTTTTTCTTTGAATTCCAGGAGCCAGAGGAAACACAGCACTGTCTGATACAAGCACATCTGATCAGCACCAACCCAGTCAATCCCATCCAGCGTTCCCTGTCGGGCCCCAGGTCAGTTTCTATCATTGACTCGAAATAAAATTTGCTTTTCTGAAAGCAAATATTAACAATCAGCTAAATGGATAAAGTAGAATTATTTGGCTGAATGCTGTCGTTTGAAATGTATGCTTAGCAATTAACATTTTTAAAATGTGTCTGTATGTGCATGTGTGAGAGAGTTTATTCATCTCATTTTTTAAAAAAGATAGAAATCTATGTACAGTTTTCAAGCCAAATTTCAGATTTGGGCTAGGGATTTTTGCTCCTTAATTTAAGTTACTGGAGCCTCACATCAGTCTTCTGCTTTAAATACAGCCTGAGTTGATGTGAAACTGCTAAATTGACTTTTAATGTAAGTTTGATTCAACAGTTTGGGTTTGACAGTTGTGTGTGTTGTGCACAGACTTTGTTTCAAATTACATTTATCCTAGTTGGGAGCCAACAAGTATTTATGTGGATTGTGCTGTAATGCTAAGTAAAAATTTGAAGGGTTTCTGTTTACAAAGTGACTGAGCCAGGTTGCTAGGGAAGAGCTGGCAGACATTCTGGCCCCCAGTTTCTGAGCATATCTCCACAGGAGAATTAAATTGGCTGGTGCCATTTGAACTGCCACAAGTTCCTCCTAAGAATCCTTCAAGCTTTAGTCTGACAAAGGTGCTGAGAATTTGTGTTTGCTTTGGCAGCACTTGTATTAAAAATTGAACTATGCAGCAATTTTAGCATGACCCCTGCACAAAGATTACATGCAGATTCATGAAGCTTTACATATTTGGGGAGGGTCCTAGGCTCAGTGGTACAGCACAAACTGTGCGTGCAGAAGGTCCCACGTTCAATGCTTGGCGTCGTTGATTTATTTTTTAACAAAAACCATCAAGTTGCATGTGATGCTCAAGACCTCTGTCTATGACCTGGAAGGGCCAAAGCCAGTCAGAGTAGCACCCCCAGAACTATAGTCGGCAGCTTTTGCAGATCTGCCCACTGGGGGATGCCAGCTCAAAAGAGTTGTTTGGCTTTGTTTCTTAGGAAATGTACGGTGATTGGGTTTAATCGAGCCATCCTTTCAAGAGCAACCAATACTTATATTCTAGATGGTGCAGCTCAGAGCACAGGTGGGGTCCATATTACCCGACCTGGTCTAGTATATGCTATGGATGTGAAACTGGAAAGAATTTAGAGGAAATCAACAAATCAGCGTTTGTGAGTGTAAAGGAGCAGAGTATATTTTTCCTAAAGAGAGACTGAGAGCAGCAAAGAGGAACACACTTCCTCTGATCTCTGAACTCATCGCTTACTCATGGGAAGGGTCAGCCTGTAGAGCAGCCCTCACTGCCAGAAATCAGACCTATATTATTTTTATTTATTAAATTTGTATGCCAGCCTTCATCTGTAGATCTCAGGGCTCTTCACAGTATAAAAGTATATGTGGAGCAACAACTCCATGTGGGTTATAGATTGACCTCCCAAGCTTTTTTGGGGGGACAAATTTAGTTATATTTTGTCTACGCAACAACAGTCGGTCCATCCAGATGTCCCTTTTGTTGTGCTTTGGTGATGATTTGTATTGGGACAGTTATATATGATCTCACTTTTAGTACTGTTTGCACCTGCAAATGTTTAGGAGCGGACATACTTCTTTGTTTCCAATAAATACGAGTCCTGTAATTTCCTGCTGAAATCCTGTAACTGTTTATGCCACAGATGTTCCAATTTATTTTCTGGGCCACTTCTGTTGCACAGCAGTGCAGGAGCGGCCCTCTTAAGTGGGCATAATGTGCTCATACTGGGGAAGCAACTAATAAAGTGGAATGATGTTCAGTACAAATCCTCTACTAATGCCCTGTTATTCCACTATTACTGTTGCAGAATACCTCTGCAAAAAGCAAACACAAAGAACAGCCCTGTATTTACATTTTAATTGCTTTGTTCTCTTGAAAACCACCTTGAGAATATGATTGAAGGAATGTTAGTATAAAAAACCAGGCCAACAAACTTATTTTTGGTTGGTAGGTCATGTTGGGTTTACTGGTATGCTGGATGCGTACCTTTTTCTAAACGGCTTTGGGAAGCATTTTGTTTGAAAAGTGATTTACAAATCTTAAACAAAGGCTTTAATTATCACCAAATTTGGCAAATAGCTACTGCATTTTAAAATATTATTGGGTACCTACTGTAAGTGTTTTCAGCAGCGGTTTGGAACCTCTCTGGCCTGTGGGGCAAACCTAGACCACCAGGGGCTCCCATTTGGCCAATGACCACATGGAGTACAAAATATTTACTTGGAAGCCTGTTTGGGCATTAAAGTTGTAGTGCAGCAACACCTTCTCTAGAAAGCTTTACCTGAGAAAGCTCTCAGGCACTGATTTTTTCCTTTCATAAATTATTATATAAACTTGCTGCAAATTTATCAATTGAAATTGATTGTTCATATTACTTTTAGTTGATTAATCAGCGAAACTTGCATATGGGTAAAAACAATGTTTCTGATGCCAGAAGCATTTTTTCCTTTGTTTTTAGACGGCACATAAATTTCTTGTAGGAGGCATCGTCTTAGAAGAGGAATTCCTCTTCTAAGGAATTCCTCCCAACGTAATGGAACGTAATGGAAATGCCTCTTTTGAGAAGGCACTTGCCAGCTATATTTTTTAATCACAGTGAAGAAGAATGTCTGTATCTATACCTGTATCCATATCATCTGTATCTACAACTGCTGGCTGATTGGGACACCTTTTCAGTCAATTAAAAGTGTTTTTAACTAGTTAATCTAAATCAGGCATGTCCAATAGGTAGATCGTGATCTACCAGTAAATCGCTTGGGTGTCCCAGGTTTGAAGTTTAGTGATTGCCTTTGGCCAACCCTCCCCTAAAAAAAACTCAACAACTCTTGGCAATGACAGTGGGTAGATCACAGCCGGTCTTTTTATACTATGAGTAGATTGCAGTCTCTTGGGAGTTGGACGTGCCTGATCTAAATAATCCAGCATTTCTAAATGCTGCTGGCCTAGTACACACGCCCCATGCCCCGTGATTGTAGTCAGAAATCTAAAACAAATCAGAAGTAAGTCACAGGCTCTGGGTCAGTTTGCACAACATGGTGTCCACCAGAGCTTTTAGACTACAAAGCATGTTCTTCTTCATGGAGAGCACGTGTTGCGGTGGGGGCTAGCAAGACACCCACTGTTGCTTTGGCCACCATTAACATGTGCTTTCTGTTGCTGGGGAGATTTGAATGTTGCCATTTTGTGATTGACAGCCATAGCCTTTAAATACCCTGCGTGCAGCGTTGAGCTTTCTCTTTTCGCTGCGCACATTGGATCACCCTCCCTCCCTATTTTCAGGTTGTTCGCATTGACCTTACTATGCCTGTCATGGGGTCGTCTGCTTTTGGGGCAGGGGCCCGGTAGGAATTTTGTCCATTTGGCTGGTGCCATTTGGTTTTTGCCTACTGCGTAGCAAATTGTCACAACTTGTAAGGCTGCGGTTAGGCATTGGTTTAGAGATTGGTTGGTGGAGGGGCATGGATTGGCTGTGCCTGCCCCTCCACAATGCTGTGCTGCAAAGGAATTCCGTTAAAGGAATCCAGGGGTTTGCCATGCTTTTGTCCGAACACCTGTCAAGGGGCTAGGGCCACGCAAGAGCCCCTGGGAGCATTTGGGGAGAGGTGAGGCATGGTACCCAGTCCCGTCTCTCTCCCCAAAATGTTTTCCCTTTCTGACTTTGCGGGCGTGCGAATGTCAGTCTGTCCCCGTGCGGGGTCAGATAGTCGCAACCAATGCCTAAGCAACCACTCACATTGTTTGTAATTTTAATAAAGTTCGGCCAAAATTATGCCAAAATCCTTAAACCAAAATCAAGTGTCAATTGTGTTTTACTGGGGGGTGTCTTGGGGACCTCAACATGCAACTCCGGTCATACCTGAAGGTTGGCTGTGCTGGCTGAGGCTGATGGGCGTTGTCCAACAACATCTGGAGGGCACCAGGTTGGGGAGAGGCTGCTCTAGTGAAACCACTGCAGCCGTGCTGTTATGCCTTTATTTTGTAATATGTTAAAATATGATAATTACGTCTCCTTTCAGCCACTACTGACGGCGCAGCAGCTAGCCTCAGCTGTCGCAGGGGTGATGCCAGGAGGCACGCCAGCACTGAATCAACCTATCCTTATTCCTTTCAACATGGCGGGTCAGTTGGGGGGCCAGCAAGGACTGGTCTTGACTTTGCCTACCGCTAATCTCACCAACATCCAAGGGCTGGTGGCCGCAGCTGCAGCAGGAGGCATCATGACTTTGCCGTTGCAAAATCTACAAGGTAAATCGCATTGGAAATTCCATTTCCTTTTTCCATTGTTTTTTCCATTGTTTCATTTTATAATGTATATAAAACCGAGTGAACAATCATAACAACAGAAGGCAATTGAAAGATGAAAAACAAAACTATAAAATAGGCATGTAGACTGAGTTCAGTAGATTTGGTTTAAAGTTCTTAAATGGAAGAGCTTGTAACAAGAGATGTTTAGAAAGTCTGATTTCAGTGTCTCCCCAGTGTTAATTTGGTCCCCCCTTGATTATAGGGTACAGAGTAGCTTTTATTTTGTTGTAGTGCTGTTTTTATTTTGATTATATATTTTGTGGATTTGTCTTCTGGTTTTGTTCTGTGAGCCGCCCTGAGACCTCTGGATATAGGGTGGAATATAAATTATATATTTATAATTTATATAAATTATATATATGGTATACCTCATCATCAGGTTGAGCTCTGTGGAACAAAAGGATTAATTTAGTCTAGCTTTTTTTTTCAGGGACAGAATAAAATCCACTACTGTAAATTACCATTTATTCAAAAAATTATCAGAAAGAAGGATTTGTAAAGTTTGAAATAAAAATAGAAAACTTGCTAGAAACAACATTTGAATTGTAGCTGTTCTCCTCAAAATTGAGAGTTTTTGGTTTTTTGCATGTTTTTAAGTATGTTTCTAATTTCCGTGTAATTGGATTATAATTCATTTAAAATAAATTTGCATATAAATGCAAACATATGAATTTTTAAATATTCAATTATTTTGGCACATATTGTAATTTTAGACATAAAATAAATTAATTTTTCAGTTTTAGGTCGTAATTTTTTTAAGAGGAATTCAGATTTACAGTAGTTGACTGAGATACCTGACAGAGACATTGGAAATTCATTTCGTTGGTCGGTTTTGACACACCAAACTTTTGCAAATACAAAAACAGTATCTGGAATTCAAAAAGGAAATTCATTACTTCCATTCCTTTGGGCCACTGAAACTCTAATAGCACATGTTATAGCTCAAGTTTAGTTCAGACCTATTGGTTAAGACCAGCTGAGTATTAGCCTTCCTAATTATGTTGGTGTGCCTCATGTGTTTTGGGTGGAAAATTCCTGACCTCGAAGAGGGTTTTTTGTGACCTTAATATGCAAGAACCAAGTCAGCTCATAGGCAGGCTGAGGCGGCTGCCTCAGGTGGCAGCAGCTCCTTGGGTGTCCCACCTGCCCTGCTACCTCCCACGTCAACGCAGAAGCAGTACCGGTGTCAGTGCCGATTTTGGCAAAATCTTGCTCCAATCAGGCAGGGCAAGGCGGCACTTCCCGTTTCACCTCAAGCGGCAGAATGGGCCACAGTGCTTATGCTGGACCTCCATGGTTACATCCACACCACGGGAGTCTGGAGCAGAGACCATCCTCCGCTCTCCACGTCCCTGTCAGGGCCATTCCAGGTGCAGAACATTTCTTTCCCTCCGCTCTTGCAGTTGAAATGTATTGTGTCAGATGGCAATGGTGGTTGCTCACGAGTAACCACCTGTCTTTTACAGGTTTTATTTGGTGCAAAAACTATTTGCAGTGCGGAACCCCAAAGTTCATGTCTGCCTCAATCGCTAGCAGAATCCGGGAGTGGCTTTTTCCGGTTTTGTCCCCAACAGAAGAACTTGGTCACCCCCAGCTTTCTCCTTCCTTATTTGCGCTTTACCCCTCTGTGCAAGGTGGGCAACGGAAGAGGCGTGCTTCCCTACTGGCCGGCTTGACCAGGAGCGGTGCTGGGCATCCCCTGACCCCTTTCTCTCTTCCCCACTGGAGGTGTGGCTTTCCCCACCGCAGGAAGAGGAACTGCTTCGCAAGACTTTCGGAGGATCCCTGTATCCCAACGGCCCCTCTAACTCCTTTCCCTGTTCCGATGGCAGTTCCTTGACAGTGTTGCCTCTCTGTTCCTGGTCGTATCCCCCCCCCCATACACAAGAGGGCTATTAGGGTCATTCCACGTCAAATGACCTGATTTTAATAGTCATACCTCGTTTTGAGTCCGCCCCGTTTAGGGTCCGTTTCGTCGAACGTCCGCAGCAAACCCAGAAGTACCAGAATGGGTTACTTCCGGGTTTGCCGCATGTGCAGAAGCGCTAAATCGCACAATGCGCATGCACAGAGCGGCACTTTGTCGAGCGTCCCTTTCGTCGAGCGTCCAGGGCTCCGGAACGGATCCTGGGCGCAAAAGGAGCTACGACTGTACTCGACCGTGCTCTCACGTCTCAGAGTTTCTTCAAAAACATTTTCTGTGTAGATACCCATGAGATAACCTCAAATTCGTTTTCAAAGATTTTTTGGTCCAAAATTGGGCGCAGGAGAAATTTTCACAAATTTCGATTTTCGCACGATTTAGGTTAATGCAATTTCTGTGTCAGTTTAGGGGGAAAACCTCCTGATTCGCTTATTTTTCAACCAGTGGGCTTATTTGGGTATCAAAATAAAGCTAATATTGGTCTCTTTCAAAATAAGGTATAAATATGGTATTGAGTGCCACAGAAAAGGGTCACTGACCATTCAAAGTGAAATTTAGTCATTTTGTACCTTGGTAGGTTCGATAAGCCATAGCACGCAAACCACAACTAACAATATGTATCATACTTTTTTTGTAGGGTGGGCTAACCATGAACTTGTTATGCTTTAAAAATAAGAAGAGTGTTTTTTGTGGTAATAAATTTTTTTTTTAAGTTTTATTAATTATTTAATAAAAACAAAATACGTCTCGGATCCCTTGTTTTTTCTAAACGCACGCAGAAATTGCATTAGCCTAAACTGTGTGAAAATCAAAATTTTAAAAAATTTCTCCTGCACCCAATTTTGGATGAAAAATTTTAAAAAATTTATTTGAGTTTATTTCATAGTATCTACACATAAAAAAATTTGAAGAAAATCTGAGTCGTGAGAGCACATGGCACCAGGTGGTTTGGCATGGAATGATAAAGCCTAGAAACAGCGAAAAACATTGGGAAGAAGCAATGTTTTTTTAAAAAAACCACAATTAAACAGTTATGTGTGTGAGAGAGAGACAGAAATATCTATTAAAACATACAATAAAAATATCACAGCACCAGAAATAAAACGTAGTACGTGTATGAAATTTGTTGTCATAATATACCATAATGCCCACTAGATTAAATTATATTTAAAACAACAACAACAACCCAATGATGACAGTCGTGAAGGAAATATATAGTAAAACAGATAAATGGAACCTTATTTTCAGCATTACCCTGAGTACTAGCAGCTACAGATAAACATCTGGGGAAGGCCATCACCTTCATTCATTCATTTATATTTTAATTATCACATTTCTTCCCCTAAATGGGGCCCAGAGCAGGAAACATTAAAAAGTCAAAATGACGCATTAAAAAAATACATTTCAAAACAATATGAAAGCCACTTATAAAAACATTTGAGAACATTCAGAGGATGTAGAAACATTGTGTCCCTTTTGTGAGCGTGTACCAAAATTTAGCTGGAAACAGTTGCAAATAAGATGATGGATTAAATGTCAGGGACAGTGAGGGACAACAGAAGAATGAAATTAAATGCAACAGGAGGGAAATTAGGGACCCATATCATGAGATGCCTTGCACCTTGTGGATGTGGGGCAGAGAAGGATCCAGCCAGTTAGAGGCCTCTGGAACATCAGGTGTTAATCTGAATTGAGATCTTCTCCTCTGGGTTTTAAATTTGTTTCTTAATTTTCCCCAGTTAACCCTGGGCACATAGTGCTGCATCTAAAGGCTGCCTTCCTGCAAAGTGGCAGAGCAGCCAGGGCAGACAGAGGTTTTTGCAGAGTAGTCAGTTTTGAGCATATAAATAAGAGCAGAAGATCATGTAACAAATAGCTCAGATATTACACCATTTAGCATTTTATGATTTGGGGTGCACATCGTATATATGTATTCAGACATTGAAGAGATAAACAATTTTACGACCTTCCATAGACATCTGAAGTCAGCCCTGTATCGAGATGGTGTTTGATGTTTTGTTATGTTTTCGTGTATTCTGTTGGAAGCCGCCCAGAGAGGCTGGGGCAAACCCAATCAAATGGGTGGGGTACAAAAATATTCTTATTCTTATTCTTATTCTTATTCTTATTATTATTACTTCCTCTTCATCTCTCTTCCTCTCTCTTTCACACACATCATATATATATTATGTGATCTACATAGACCAGGCATAGGCAAACTCCGGCCCTCCAGATGTTTGAGACTACAATTCCCATCATCCCTGAACACTGGTCCTGTTAGCTAGGGATGATGGGAACTGTAGTCCCAAACATCTGGAGGGCCGGAGTTTGCCTATGCCTGGCATAGAGAGACAAACAAACCCACACGTACGCACAGCCACACCCACCCTTTTGTGTTCCTAAAATACATTTTGCTGACATAATTGGAAGGGGAAAGTATCCCACAGATAAAATAAAGCTTCTGTTAAGTGAATGTTCTGCACAGCACTCTAAAGTACTTTTTGAGTGATTAAACTCCAGTTTCTGCTCATGACTTGATGGATTGTGTGATGCACCGAATGCTACAGGTTGTGAAACAGTAGGAAAGGGAGGCAGCTAATGTGTTGGACAAACTCCCTTACAACCGGCACGCATGGTGTGCCCTCACCTGTTGGCTCAGAGGCTCGCCTTTACCTTGCGCAGATTTTAAACTTTAATGTCAACAGACCTCTCTTATCATAGTTGCAAATGGTTTTCACTTTAATGTTTAAAATAATGTCTCCCTCTCATACCATTAAGCTGCACCAAGGAACCTGTCATTCATAAATCATAGATGAAAAGGACACACTAATGCACAAATTTTGCTTGTTTAAAATTTGAGAGTGCATGTAAAGTAGGGAACTGGAGATTAAAAAAATAATGCAAGGACAGGGTCCGGGTAAAAGCAGATATAACAAAGTGGAGGAAGAGGCTTTTTAGTGTAGGTGGATGATGAAATCTTAATGAAGACACAGGCATTATAAAAGTGTATCGCTTG